TGATTCAGAAAGTGCGGTTGCAGTGGAGATTGCGTCTTCAACTATGTGTGCGACACAACGGCGGACACTTTGAACAGATTATGTAATAAATTTTTGGACTATTTTGTAATTTTATTAATTTTTCCCTGTGGGTCCTGACTTACGGGACACCCTGTAGGTCACTTCACAGCTATTTATGCATGTAACTGCCATCTTCAATAGTTATCATGGTATGAAATTATCTTACATAAACTATTGTTTTTGAACAAAAAAGCAGGGCCAATTTTCATACAAAAACATATCAGCCATCCCCAGTGTTATAACAAAGGGTTCATGCTGCTAGGCTGAACTTTCTTATTATGAGGATACAATTTATTTTAAATAAGTTGGGATTGTATACCTTTGTGAAATTTCATGTGGTCACTCATCCACAGAAAATTGGATGTTATTCTTTGAATGACATTACTAATGTTCATGTTTTGCACTTTTCAAGTCATCTAAATAAATTATATGCTTTTCTGACTAGTCTACATATAAAATCAAAAATATCAAGAATACACAATTTTTTGCATTTGGAAATTTATTCAATGCAAAAAGAACATCAGGAGTTTTTAGTTCCATCTTCCATGGTCTTTTGCATGTGAAAGCAAGAAGATGGTCAGTGAAGAATACAACAAGTATGTGGCCTCAAAAAACTGAGATCACAGAGCTTGATTCAAAGTCTCATAGAAGGTAACGGATGATGAGATGGGAGAGGTCGACCATTTTCCGATTGTAGGCCTGATAGAATCGGTCAGCAGCCTCCTGCTGGGCATAAGTCACCTCAGCCATCAGGGTGCCATCCCGCATGAACATCTGGAAGTTCTGATGGGAAACACATGCATTCAGAGTGGGCTATTATTCCAAACAAGGACCAGGGGATGAATTTGCCTTGTTACCTGAATGGTTCCTATGTCTGTGCACATCTTCCTCAAACGCTTGGCTTTTAGACTGGCCGGGATGTTGGAAATGGATAGCCGAGCAGACTTGTGCATTGGGTTCGTCACTTGCACTGCTAAATGTGGCAAATTTGTCTCCTGACCCAAATCATGGGTCACAAATGTTTTGGCAGGCAAAACCTGGAATAAATAAGTAAAAAATAAGTCATCTTTGGCATTTTACAGGTCTACATTTTTCTGCTTTGGTAGTGCAGAAACTTTTAAAGCACAGCTTTGGAAGGAAGTCCGCTTTCATCTGTTTCCACACTCACATTAATTTCCCTTAATCAGCAGGCTATTGAAACAAAATACAGCTCACAGGTCTGACTGAAAAACTAGTGACATGAAGCATGCTGGTTTTTCTCTGAGAATAGGAATTTTAAATAACAATACAAGACTTGAGTGCTTTCTATTTGATTCACTGGAAGGGATTATCTCTAATGGAGTTTTCTTGAATTCCTGTTTGTATTAAGGTGGCAGAATGGGTGAACCATTATCACTTGAGCAGCTGGATGGCTGTCACCAGGTGTGGAACCTATGAAAATCACTACCAGTAATATTTCAATATGAATGTAGAATGTATAGCACTTTTGAAACCACCAATAGCATGGATGCACAACATTCATGAAGTGAGTGACTTTGTTCCTCTGACCTATTTGAGCTGAATATCCACAACCTACAAATATCACTATGGATTGGAGGGTCAACTCACAATCCTATCCTGTGCAGACAAGACAATGCGCTCCATTTGCTGCTTTGACTGTGGACCCTGGCCATCCTTTGGCTCAACTCCAAGCTAGAAAAGTTTTC